TTTGAATTCTCTAACTAAATAGTTTAAACATTCAATTCTTACTAATTTAAAGATATAGTTGTGGCAATGGTTTGGATCATGTGTTCTGTACCTTTAGAGGTCACCCTGCTAATTCATATTATCTCAATGTACAACAATATGAACTTATAAATTTTTTTTTTCATAACAATGATGAGTACAAATAGGTCTAAAGCAATATTTGGCACATATTTTATTTATTTAAAAATACGTTATATGTAGTGCTTTGGGTGATTATTTAAATTTAAAAACCTAAATAAGATTTTAGTAAATATAATACTATATCAGTATTATATTAAATTTGGTCAAAAGTCCGAGAGTTCTTTATTTTGGGATTTTCTGTACCAATTATATATAAGATAATTTTTTAGTGTCACCGCTAGCGATCATCGCCGCTAGTATTATATAATATATTAGTTGTACTACATACTGATATATATATCAATATTGTTAATGAAGTGTGTATTTAATAAGTTTCAAGCTTTATTTTTTTTTTATTTATTTATACAATCCCAATACGGCATATAAGAAATAAGTCAGATATGAATAGAGCCGATTTTTTTCCATCACACTCTTATTTTTTACAAGATGTAGAGAATATCCAAGGATTATTATCTGATTTTATGTTGGCTTCAGAAGTATATAATACGTCTTTACAGTATAATGATGATTGTTTGGAAAATTACATTAATTTGGACAAGCTTTATAATGATGTTGATGGTAAGATTAAACTGTACAGTTTTTTTTTGCAACAGCAGCAGCAGCAATTTTTTTTTTTTAACCTGAATTTTTTTTAGATTTACTAGATTGTAATAACCTAGAATACTACGAGAAAGACAATATTCAACTACCAGCTTTATTAGAGATAGAAATGACATTTGACAGCTTTGATCATACAGAGCGGTTTCTTAACCAGTATACAAAAGACAATGGGTTTGTTGTTATAAAGGAGCGATGTGAAAAGAATAAGAATAACAAATCAATTATTGTAAGAAGAATATTTGAATGTCACTATAGTAGAAGTAGAAAATTAAAAAAAGTTGTTGATATTGTGCAACAAAGAGATCATATATCAGAAAAAATAAATTGTATGTGGATGTGTAATATTAACAAAATAAAAGACAGTGAATCTGTAAAAGTTACTAGTTTTGGCGATTGACATACCAACACTTGCAATAATAATATGGCGCAGTATGCTCCAAAATATAGACGTCTACTTTCAGAGGTTCTTGATGATATAAGGTTTTTTACTGTAGATAGTCAGATGGGTGCAAGAATATAATACCGTTTATTAGCAGCAAAATACCCAGATATCTATATTTACAAAAGAGATTTATATAATGCTATTTATCATTTTAAAGCTACTTCAGCTCATCAGCAACAAGGAGATAGACAATCAATTCTTAATAAGCTGTTGGAATTACAGTGTGAAGAACTGGGATGGATTATTAAAACATGTCTTGAAGGGCCAGATAATCGATTAATTAAGTTATTCTGGATGAATCTGATACAAATTTAACTTCTTATTAAATATAAGAATGTAGTTATTTGTAATAACACTTGTAAAATGAACTGATATGATATGTATTTTAGCCTTCTTGTCATAATAGATAATAATACTAGAACCTGTTTAGTATGTTAAGAGCTGTCAGAGAATAAAACTAGTGATAGTTATCAATAGTTTTTTCAGTGTTTAAGAGATGCTATTGGTAATATGGTACTCCAAGTATTATTTTCAGATTCTGAATTAGCTTTAATCAATGCTGTTTCTATTATATTTCCTGAAACGAAGCATTTTTTGTATATATACCATATTCAGCAAAACATATATAAAAAATTAAAATGACTTTTAGAAGCTAGTTATGAAGTGTAGAGTTAATACTTCAATCCGGATATAAATATATCCGGATTGATATTTTGTTAAAAATTTATAATAAAACATAGTAATTATATCCGGATATATCCGGATATAAAATAAATCCGGATATAAAAACATAGTAAAGTGTTAACTCTAATGAAGTGTTTATTAAGATATTCTATAAAACAAGAAATAGTTTAAATGAATCGGATTTTGAACGATATTGAAAAAAAATAATTGAAAAATTTTCTCAAGCAAGTAATTATCTACAAGAAACTTTATATCCAATTTGATATACTTGGGCTTTATGGTATCAAAGTCTTTGGTTTACCGCTAGTATACAGTCAAGTTAGAGAATCGAGGCTCTTAATGCATTACTTAAAACAGGTGTAGATCATATATCGTCTTTATGTTATTTGTATAAAGAGTGCTAATGGCTATTTGATAATCAGTCAGAATACTCACAGCTTGAAGAATATCAGAATAGTGTGCCTACTAGAGGATTACCAATTGCATCACAAGTTATATTTCCCCAAATCGATTCTATATTAATTAAGTTTGTAATACCTCATATATCAGTCTGGGAATATACCAAATTAGGAAATCGCATTCTAGAATGATCTATGAATAGATTCTTGATTTTGATTGGCTC